TTCTTTCAGGAAGACACAACTCTTACGCCTCTAGACTGCTTTGCAACTCTTCTATTCTTATGGTGTCCAGATCTTTAGAATGTTCAATTTCTATAACAATGTAATCAACTTGAGGAGTAGGCGACCTCAATACCTTCTCTGTGATTATTTGTTCAGAAAGGGTTTCTCCACAAGCCTTCATCTCCTTAGTGATCAAAATCACTCTATAGATGTACTCAGAAACCTTCTCGTTGTCCTTTATGTTAAGATTCTCATACTGCTTTCTGAGAGACTGAAGCTTCACCCTTTTCACTGATGCGTCACCACTGTAACACTTACTCAGTTTGTCCCACGCAACCTCCTCCGTCATCGAATCAACAATTTTCTCAAACACGTTCTCATCCACACACTGATGGATGAAGAACAACGTCTTATGATCTTTCTTCCTTGTTTCTCTCTGCGTATTTCTCTGTTCCTCTATCGCATCTGCTGCAACTAGAACATAACCATTTGTGATAAGCTCAATAACATCCTAAGCACCAAACAACACACGCATCTGAATCATCCAACAATTCCAGTTTTTGCCATTAAATACTGGAAGCTTGGTGCTTATACTACCATTTCCGGTCATCTTCAACCTTGTACAGAATACTCAGATCTTACAAACACAGTGTTTCCCAATCCCACTGAATTAGAAAATGTGATTATGTTCAGAATTTGTTCAAGATTTAACACGAATTCAAGAACCAAAATCAATCACACAAGTCTTACTGTTTCAATCGTGTTTCTCATGGATTCCAACCGGAGCTCTAGATACCAATTTATTGGTGCACAAGATTAATAAGTGAAGGAAATGTAAGAGAGAATAATATTAAAGCTCTGCAACCGGAGCTCTAGGTGAATATTTATCAAGAGGATGACCGCATAATCAACGACATGGTAACCCGGAAATGGCGGATATAGTTGTATCATCGGATAATAGCAGATAAAATGATGTTTAGAAGGTTTTATAGTATAATAATTGTATCATCGGATATAGTTGTATTATTGGAAAATTTTATTTTAGAAAAATACAATGTCTTTTACATGCATGTTAACATGCAATCGTCATTATGTAGTGTTATAAAAGGTAACTCCTGTCATGAAAATCGGCTTGATGCCTTTTTCATTGCATTTGATACTATATATAATAGGGTTAGTAATTACATGTAATTACAATTCATAATTACAACTTGTAATGACTAATTTCCTATTCTATAAAAGTAAATTATTCACAATAAATGAAAATATTATTTTATGATTAACATCCCCCTCAAATTGATGCGGCTGGTCAATGAGTATCAATTTGCTAATAAGAAATTGATGTCATGGGCGTGGAACAACTTTGGTAAGAATATTTGCAACCTGCAACTGAGTACATACATGAGAAAGTGATATCATTCGATCATCGTAGGCGTCGCGTATTGAATGATAATTAACTTATATATGTTTGGTACGTTCATGAAAAACAGGACTTGCAACAATTTGAATGGAACTTGTATTGTCAGTATAAAGTGAAGTTGACTCTGTTTGGAGAAATCCAAGTTCATCCAAAAGACCACAAAGGCAAAGTATTTCTGAACAAGCAGCGAACATGGCACGATACTCTGATTCAGTAGAAGATTTAGAAACTCTTGTTTGCTTCTTATTTTTCCAAGAGATCAATAAAGAACCAAGAAACATGCACCAATCAGTAACAGATCAATGAGTATCAGGACACCTTGCCCAATCAACATCACTATAAGCACTCAACTGAAGAGAAATTCAAAAGGAAAATAATAGTTTGCGGAGAGAGGTTCCCTTTAACTAGAGAATTATATGACAAACTGCAGCCAAGTGAAGATGGAAAGGAGAACGCATAAATTGAGTTACTTGTTGAACAACAAAAGATATGTCATGGCGAGTAATAGTCAATTAGTTGAGGCTATCCACAAGTTGTCAATACAATAAGGGATCATGCAAAAGATCACCATCATCACGATGATATTTAACATTAGGAGTATCTACCGGATTAGTCGATTCGAGACCGACCATAGAAATCAAATATGTAGCATACTTGTGTTGATGGAGAAAGATGCCCTTGGATGTAGAATGGACCTCAACACCAAGTAAATAATGTAGATTACCCAGATATTTCATGTGAAATGAGGCTTGTCATTGTTGTTTAAGTCGCTGAATAGAAGCATGATCAGAAGTAATAATGACCATATCATCAACATACAAAAGAAGCGGAACAATACATGTAAATATGCTAAGAATAAATAAAGAGGAATCATACTGACGCGGAGTAAATGAGAATCTAAGTAGATTGGAGTAGAATTTCTCGTACCATGTTCTAGGTGCCTGTTTCAAACCATATAAGGAGCGTTTGAGCTTGCACACACCTTTAGATGAAGATAATAAGCCTTGAGGTGGAGTCATATAAACATCTTATGTCAGGTCACCATGAAGAAAAACATTCTTCACATCTATTTGATGAAGAAACCATCCACTAGAAGCAACTATAAAGATGATCGTGCAAACAATTGTCATTTTGGAAACCAATGAAAATGTCTCATTATAATCAATTCCATATTCCTGCTTGTTTCCTAAAGCAACCAAACCAGCCTTGTAACGGTTGAAAGACCCATCAGAATTCAAATTTACAGAATACACATATTTGCAACCTATAAGTTTGACATCAAGAGGACAAGAGACAATATCTCATGTGAAATTATCTTGAAGATCTTAAAGCTCTTCATTCATTGCTTTTATCCATCGCACATCTTTAACACCTTGTGAGTAACAAGTAGGAACATATATGCTAGAGAGTGTGACAGTCAGAAGTATGTGAGGAATCATACATGTATGGTGAATATCTATTTGGTGTGCGATATATTCAACCAGAACATCTTGTTTCAATCGTACAGGATCAGATGGCGGTTCAACGTCGAAAAAGGGTGTGGGAACTTGCTGTCTGTGTTTTCTGACATATACATGATCTGGTTTATAATGTTCTTTAGATTGATGCATAATAGAAACTTAGGAAGAGTAACAATATCATTAATGATAGGAGAAACACAGAGAAACATAAACTGATTATCAAAAAATCTCACATTCCTAGAAATGCGAAAACGATGGTTAGTGACATCATAATGTCATACCCCAAATTTGTCTGCATTGGTGCTAATAGTCAATTTTGTTTAATACTGCTTTTAGTACATACTCTCATTTATTTAAAATATTTTCTTATGCATACTAGCATTTACTTATATTTAAATTTAGATATAGAAAATTCAAATTAGGTTATTTAATTAAATTATTATCACATTTTTTATTGGGCTCATCATTCAAATTAGTAATAAAAACTCATTACAATTTGTTAAGTCCATTGAAGAGGGATTTTGTTTTAAGTAAATGTAAATATTTTTATTTTTAGAGTGGTTGACTGGAGTCAACACTCTTTTAATTATTTGACCTTTTGCATTTTTTATTTATTATTATTATTATTATGCTTTTTGTCACTTTATGTTAGAAAATATATAGTATTGTGTTGACCTGGGGTCAACGTTTTACACATATATGTTGATTCGTTTGTTTTTGTTATTATTATTAATTGTAAAAAAATTGACTTAGTCAAAATTAGGGTTTTGAACTCTCTAATCCAAAAGTTGTGTTTTGTTCCTTATTCTACATACCTAAGTTATAACGAAAGCTTAAAAATCCATAGCTGAGATCAAATTTAAACATGATCTAAGATTGAAAAATCGACTTTATTGATTGAAACGAATTTACATACAATTTCAGTCCAGGTACACAATAAATTAAAACCCTAAATTCTAAGAATCTAATCAAATCCGATATTAATTTACAATCAAAATAAATCAATCCCTAATCTAACATATAACAACAAATCAATATAAAATAATTTTCTAAATGAACTAATCCTAAAAAACTATTAAAAAAAAACTAGACCTAAGCTGAGAAAGGAATGAAGAATTTGAAGGAGAACTTGGAGAGAGAGAATTGGAGAGCCTTGGATTCTTGCGGAGAAACCTTCAATCTTTGCACCTGAAAATAAACATAGAAAAGAGATCAAAAGGGGAAAAATAGATAGAGAATCAGAAAGGAATTACTATATGATTCACGACATGAAAAGTTGGTAAATTAACACTACAAGAAAATTAGTGTTTAACGACACAAAAATTGCGACAGTTATGTGATAACTGTCGTAATTGACATATAGAGACAATGTTTACGACAGTTGACACCAACCGTCCCTAATATTTATTTTGCGACGGTATATTTAACCATCATAATATTATTATTACGACGGTAAAACAACCGTCGGCCTCCATTTAACACTTTTAACATTGATTTTTCACCAACAACTAGTCACGACGGTAAAATTAACCGTCCTAAAAGGCATATCACGACGGTAAAGCACCCGTCGCACCCTTAAACCTTTCACGACGGTAAAATTATCCGTCCTAAAATTCATTTCACGACGGTAAAACAACCGTCGCACCCAAAACCTTTAAAAATCTCTTGCTAACTTATATATTTTATCTAATTATAATTGTTATGTATATTTAAGTTCTCTCTTGTTAAGGTTAAGTTTATGCATTATTATATATTCTATGAATTTGATACGACAATGGTGTTATGTTCAATTTAATCAATCAAATAAATTTAATCTTTCATCTTCAGGTTCTGCTTTGTTTTTTCAACTCATGAAAATTGAACCACATTCTAATGTCCTCCTGCATCACTATTCTTCGAACATCTCTCATCTTCCAACCGGTAAGTTTTCTATAACACTTTTTCTTTGTTCTCATCTTCACATATCTCTCTCATTCTTTAACATTGATTTCACCATTGGAGATTCACATGAATCTTAGGGTTGAGCTCTTTGTGATTCAAACATCACAACAAGCATTCATATCGACATTAAACCCAATCACCAACAATAAACCCTAAAACCCCAATTTATTCACGATTCAATGAGCAATACAAGTTATAGCGTTCATAATCACAAGGGGAAAGGGTATCGAGTAATAACACAAAGAAAATAGACAGAAGGGAATAACGATTTAAAACCCTACAACATACAACATCTTCAACATTTGTTGTATTCTTTCCCTCTGCACAATCGGTATTGTATTTATTTCGACTTATTTTAGGGTTTGTTATGTGAAACTTAAGTTCTATGTCTAAAACAATTTGTAACTTTTATTCTTCTTTTCTAATCCAAAGTCTAAACTGAGTTTTTGCAGGAAAATATGGATATTCTTATTGTGAAAGCACAGAAGATTGAGGTAGTTGAACTTAATTGTTGTTGAACTTGTTTCTGCTACTTTAAATCAACCCACTTTTTTATCTGCTCAAGGAATAAGTTTTGTAATCTTATTTTGAAATCTCTGGATGTCAGGTTTTGGATGAAGCGTACTGAAAAAAGCAAAAAAAATTGTAAACTTTTGTTTGACTTCTTCCTAATCTCTTGCAGGGGATAACTATTTCATATATTATTGAAAAAGAGTGGTTTTAAACAGGTTATATGCTTAGTTGCTTATATAAATTTGGTCATTGAACCTTGTATGTTTTTGGATAATTGGATATTGTCATTAGTTTACAACCATATTTTTGATTTTTGATTTTTGATTTTTGTCAAGAGTGACCCTTCATAATACCGAATCTGAAAGTAAGTGATGGAAAGAGAGAGAAAGAGAGAGAGATTCTCAACTACTAGGCTGTGTTTGGCTGTTTCTATCTTGCAGTGAAAGCTGTGAGATTGGGATTGATGGATTTGTGATAGAGTTTAGTGGCCAGAGCTCTGATTTGCCAAAATTGAGTTAGTTACCTTCATAATCAGTTTTAGCTCTTTTAGTGCTTTGAAATTGGAGTTTCTTACCAAGTCCATATATGGTTGACCAAACAGAACCTAAGATTTTTTTTAAGGTGGAACTCGCCTTCTAATTGATGGAAGGACTTGCTTGCTTCAGGTGAAACTAATTTATTTCTACCCTTTAAAAATTTGATTTCTTTTTAAGGTGGCTGAGGTGACTAAACCCCTTTCATATGCAGAATGATCACGATCCATCAAAGTTAATTGGAGAGACTCCATGCAAGCTTCTGAGATATTTGGTTGCAGACGACAGTCACATTGATGCAGACACACCATATGCTGAAGTTGAGGTCATGAAGATGTGTATGCCTCTTCTCTCCCCTGCTTCTGGGATTATTCATTTCAGAATGGCTGAAGGTCAAGCCATGCAGGCTGGTGAACTTATAGCAAGGCTTGATCTAGATGATCCTTCTGCTGTAAGAAAGGCAGAACCCTTCACTGGGAGCTTCCCAATCCTGGGCCCTCCTACAACAATTTCAGGTAAAGTTCATCAGAAATGTGCGGTAAGCTTAAATGCTGCACGGATGATTCTTGCTGGCTACGAGCACAATATTGATGAAGTGAGTAAATTCCTCCCCTTAATTATTTTACGAAATTATTCTGACATTATTTTTGGATTTTATTATTATTCGAAACTTGTATTTGGCTTTCTTATTAACAAGCTAGACATCTGTGTCAGGTTGTGCAAAGTTTGCTCAATTGCCTTGACAGCCCTGAATTACCTTTCCTTCAATGGCAAGAATGCTTTGCAGTTCTGGCAACCCGTCTTCCTAAAGATCTAAGAATTGAGGTAAAGGGACACCTTGCCCGTTTTTCACTCTGATTTAATGTTTTCTGACGTGATCTGACCTACCCTTCAACTATTCTGGTTTGTAGTTGGAAGCTAAATATAAGGAATTCGAGATTAATTCAAGCTCCCAAAATATTGATTTCCCTGCCAAATTATTGAAGGGAATTCTTGAAGTGAGTTGATGTTCCTGAATTGCTCATTCTGATATTTTCCGTTTTAATACAAATAAATTCATGGTGGGTGTTTTATACTGCAGGATCATCTTTTCTCCTGTGCTGATAATGAAAAAGGAGCCTTAGAAAGACTAGTTGAACCTCTGATGAGTCTTGTAAAGTCTTATGAGGGTGGAAGAGAGAGCCATGCCCATAAAATTGTACAATCTCTTTTCGAAGAGTATCTCTCAGTCGAAGAACTATTTAGTGATAATATACAGGTTAGTGTGATTATTTGATTGCTTGTACTAATTTTATGTGTGCAACTTAATCTGTTATGACCTTTTGACTTCTACCAACCAAATTAGCTTTTCTAGATGATGTTCAAAAAATGCATGATTAGTTGTTTTTCTTATTTAGCTTTTACAACACACTGGAATCAACTATTCGTTGTATGTCTCTGTGCTCATAACAAAAAACCCATCAACTCTTTTATTTTTCTTCATTTTTATGTTCATTTCATTGAACTATTTGTTTATCATTCAACTACTTTTAAGCTAAGAAGGAATTTTTACATAAAAGACGTACAATGTATTTCTAATTATTCAGTTTCCCCGAATATTCATAACAATTCCCCTTTCCCCTGCCATCTAGGCTGATGTAATTGAACGACTCCGTCTTCAATACAAGAAAGATTTGTTGAAGATTGTAGATATTGTGCTCTCTCATCAGGTATACACTTTTATAACATACTCAGCTTGAGTGATTTTCCTCCTGGATGTCTTGTTAACACGGTATTGCAATTATATTAACTGCATTTCATGGGTTTCAGGGTGTCAAGAGCAAAAATAAGCTGATACTGCGACTAATGGATAAACTGGTTTACCCTAATCCTGCTGCCTATAGGGATCAATTGATCCGATTCTCCCAACTCAATCATATTATTTATTCTGAGGTTGGTAATGCTATATAGAGGTTTCTTTGACCTGCATCATGTGATATTTTAAAGTGTTACAGTGCCTCTTTTAGTATTTATTTTGTGTATGATATTTTTAATTTCTTTAGATCATTTTGACTCGAATCCTGATTTGTGATCATCTTGACGCAGTTGGCTCTTAAGGCTAGTCAACTTCTTGAACAAACTAAACTGAGTGAACTTCGATCCAGCATTGCACGAAGTCTTTCTGAACTAGAAATGTTTACTGAGGATGGTGAAAATATTGATACTCCGAAGAGGAAGGGTGCCATTAATGACCGAATGGAGGACCTTGTGAGCGCTCCTTTGGCAGTTGAAGATGCTCTTGTGGGATTATTTGATCACAGTGATAACACCCTTCAAAGGAGGGTTGTGGAAACTTATATACGTAGGCTTTACCAGCCGTATCTTGTCAAAGGCAGCATCAGGATGCAGTGGCACATATCTGGCCTTATTGCTACGTGGGAGTTCTTAGAAGAATACGTTGAACGGAAGAACGGGGTTGAAGACAAAACACTGGTGGAGAAACATAGTGAGAAGAAATGGGGAGTGATGGTTGTAATTAAATCTCTTCAATTTTTGCCAGCAATTATCAGTGCTGCATTAAGGGAAGCAACCAATAACTTTCACGATGCACTTAAAAGTGGTTCTGTCGACTCAAATAAGCACGGTAATATGATGCATATTGGACTAGTGGGCATCAACAACCAAATGAGTTTACTTCAAGACAGGTGCAGTTTCGGAAATTAAATACATTTTTTCGAACCTAATTTTTGTTTTTTTGTTTTTTCTTTGATTTGTCAAAGCATCAATGGTTGTATTGTAGTGTAGCTTAACTTTTTGGTCTTTTGCAGTGGTGATGAAGATCAGGCTCAAGAAAGAATCAATAAGTTGGCCAAAATACTCAGAGAGCAGGAAGTAGGGTCCATAATACATGCTGCCGGTGTTGGAGATATTAGCTGTATCATACAGAGGGATGAAGGGCGTGCTCCAATGAGGCATTCCTTCCACTGGTCAGCAGAAAAGCTATATTATGAAGAGGAACCCTTGTTGCGGCATCTGGAACCTCCGCTATCCATTTATCTTGAATTGGTCAGTTATTTCACGCTTCAAGTTCCTGTTTTATTATAGAAGGTGCAAAAGAAACATATTTCACTCATATGCTTGATCTTTAACTCATTTAATATTTGTCTGATTACAGGACAAACTTAAAGGCTATGAGAATATATGCTATACACCATCCTGTGATCGTCAATGGCACCTCTACACTGTTGTGGATACCAAGCCACAACCAATTCAAAGAATGTTTCTTCGAACACTTCTCAGACAGCCAACCACAAATGAAGGATACTCTGCTTATCAAAGGGTAGATGCAGAAACGTCTCGTACCCAATTGGACATGTCCTTTACTTCAAGGAGCATTTTTAGGTCCTTAATGGGGGCAATGGAGGAGTTGGAACTTAACTCACATAATACCACCGTCAAATCTGAACATGCTCATATGTACCTCTACGTCCTACGTGAGCAACAAGTAGATGATCTTGTCCACTATTCCAAGTAATTATTACTGCAAACTTCTCCGTACATATACATATTTTTAATAATACTTATATTCTATTAGCGTAACGTAAAAAAGATTTCATCTCGTTCTTACAATTTTGGATGTTAATACCAGAAAAATCAACATAGATGCCGGTCAAGAAGAAACAACAGTAGAGACAATCTTGGAAGAACTGGCACAGGAAATCCATTCCTCTGTTGGTGTAAGAATGCATAGATTAGGAGTTTTTGTATGGGAAGTGAAGCTCTGGATTACAGCATGTGGACAGGCAAATGGTGCTTGGAGGGTCATTGTAAACAATGTTACTGGTCATACATCCACTGTACATGTAAGTTTTTTAGTTTCTTAAAAATTTAAAGGAAAACTTCCTGCATGCTCTTCCCTCTCAGATTCATGATTTTTAAAATTCAGATATATCGAGAAATGGAGGATGCCACCACTCATAAAGTGGTTTACAGTTCAGTCACAGTAAAGGGTCCACTGCATGGTGTACCACTGAACGAAAACTATCAACCTTTGGGAGTTATTGACCGAAAACGTCTCGCAGCAAGAAAGAGTAGCACCACATACTGCTATGATTTTCCCCTTGTAAGTTATTTTGAATGAATTTAGTGATAATTTCCCCTTTGTAAGTCAAATTAGGTTATCTGATGAGAAATGCTTCTTGCAGGCGTTTCAAACATCCTTGGAACAGTCATGGTCAATTCAACAGACAGGAGTTCAAAGAGCCAAAGATAAGGATCTCTTAAAAGTAACTGAGCTTAAATTTTCAGAGAAAGAAGGTAGCTGGGGTACTTCTCTTGTTCCTGCAGAGTGTCCTCCTGGACTTAATGATGTTGGCATGGTAGCCTGGTTGATGGAAATGTGTACTCCTGAATTCCCATCTGGAAGGACAATATTGGTTGTTTCGAACGACGTTACATTCAAGGCTGGTTCTTTTGGCCCAAGGGAGGATGCCTTCTTTAGAGCAGTAACTGATCTTGCCTGTGCTAAGAAAATACCTTTACATAGATAATAATTTAAATAAAAAATATATATAATAGAAAAAAAAAATCAAGACATAAACAAAAGTCATGGCGACAGTACCGAACCGTCGTAATCAATAATTAAAAATAATCAACAAAAGTCATGACGGTATCGAACCGTCGCCATAAACAATTTAATCAATTTCAAAAGATATTCACGACAGTATCGAACCGTCGCCATCAATAATTATAAGAAACTCAAAAGATAGTCACGACGGTATCAACCCGTCGTAAACTTGAACGACAGTTTTTGTAACCGTCACGAAATAGGTTGGGGACACACACTTCTGCGACGGTAAAGCAACCGTCGTGGAAAGCAAATTGCGACGGTTTTAACCGTCGTAATCTACAAAAATACCTGTCGCAATCTGCCAATTTTCTTGTAGTGCAAATAGCTTTTTGGGTCTTGATATAACTGTTGTGGATGTTTAATCGTTGGGGTTTCATTGTTGGTTTTCTGGAAATTTGGGGTTAGGGTTCTAATAGCTAGGGTTAGGGTTCTTAAACTCATAGGGTTATAAGGGTTTGAGCTAGGGTTCTTAAGGTTCTTACGTGTTTCTGGAAATGAGATGGAGTTCCCGGTGAACTCTCGTCTTCAACAACGGCCTCCACGGCCGCCCACGGTGGTCTAAGGCTAGGGTTCTTAGGGTTAATGTGAAAAATATGGGTTTCAGATGAATGTTTGAGTTCTCCGGTTGAAGTTCAACCGGGAACTGGGTTTGGTGGTGGTTTATATGGTGGCTAAGGGTTAAACCATCGACGAAGGCGACTTCTGGTCGGTGGGGGATATTTTCGATCGTCGGACTTCTAAAGAGAAGTCAAAGAATTTGTATGTCGGATAGAGAGAAAAGGGAGGGCGTGGAGAAGTAGAAAGATAAAGAAAGAAGAAAAAAATGAAACATTTAAGAAGAAGATTGCTTATGTACTCCCTCTGCCCATTCCCAGATCAGTGACATGTGACTATCTACTGGCCACACGATGAGGAGACTGTTGATCGGTATCTTGTACGCTTGTCTACCATACTCCCAAGTCAACCTTCAATCTGGACCGTTTGTTTGTATTACTTTTGTTCAACGCCCCAGGATTAACTCATGGGACCCATTAAATCAAAATCAAATGCCTCCTACTTCGCTAGCCAATCATAACACGCTGAGTGGTCCACACGATTGCCAAACGGACTCAAACAATTGTATGGGCCTGATCCATAGTTATTCAGACACCCCAATTTACTTACCCAAACCAATAACATACCCATAGGGACTTGGACTCAAACAACATTCTGGGCCTAGCCCAATGCTAACTAAAACCCCTATTTTGCTGTGTTGCACCCCACTGTTTATTTATATAATTTTGCTTATTTATATGATTTTGGTTTATTTATTTATTTATTTTTATTTTTAAATTACTTTATAATATATTTATGAAAAAAAATATATCTTCTTTCTAATTAATATATATTTAATTTATTTTATAATTATATTAAATATTTTCTTTTAGGAGAATAATAACTTCTTTTAAGCAATAATAATTATTACTATTTTTAATTTACTAACCATTATTTTAAATACCTATTTATTTGTCTATTTTCTAAACTTTTTACTAACTTCAACTGGTAATTTTTATTTACTTATTCAAATATTTATTTTCATTTTTATTTTTAAAAAAATTAAATCAAACATTAAGACAACTAACCCATCAATTTTTTTTCACTAACTTGATAAAAATTCAAGATCATTTTCAAAAAAAAGATTGTCAAATTGCTTTCAAATCAAAACTTTGAACTGCGTCTACGATCACTCAATTTTCAAACTCAGACAAAGTTCAAGGATCATTCGAAAGCAATTCTACCCAATCCTATAAAAAAAACTAACCAAATACATAAGAACTACGAAATGGGCTCTGATTTCTTTGCGAGAGGATACGTAGGCACACGATTCAAAAATCAAGGCGAGTTCCCTAACTAAAAAAATATTTTCCTTTCATATATACATGGTAATAACATAATTTAAGTAGAAAATTTCCATTAAGTCCTAAAACTAAAGATGGTCCCCTTGAGTACAAGGTAGGTAAATGGTGCTTAACACCTTCCCTTTATCTAACCAACTTACGAACCTAGAAATCTCTGAAAATTTAGGGTTTTTCCATTTGTTTCCCGTCCTTAGGATAAAAAGTAGTGGTGGCGACTCTCGTATTTTTTTCCGGTTACGACACATAACACACAAATCCCTTATGATGGTGATTATACCCCATAAATTCACATTGAACAGACTGTGCTCCAAGCTTATGCTTTTTAAAAGGAGGTAAGTGAACAAAACACACACGCCCAAAAGTATGTAAAGCACTATAATCAAGATGAATTTTAAAAAGGCGAAAGAAAGGAGCATCAAGATCAATAACCGTAGAAGAAAGACAATTGATCAAGAAGGCCGTTATGGAAAGAGCCTCCACCCAAATTTGGAATGGTACATAAGCTTGGAGAAGTAAGGTCTGTGTTACATCAAGCAAATGACAATTTTTACATTCTGCCATACCATTTTGTTGAGAGGTATTGGGACAAGATCGTTGAGACAATATTCCTTTTTGCTGAAGGTATTCCTGAAACTTATGAGACATGTACTCACCACCAGAGGCAGAGCGAAACTTTTTAACACTTGCTTGAAATTGAGTTTCAACATATGTAAAATATTTCTTAAACATAGATAACACGTCAGATTTAGAACGGAGAAAATATATCCAAGTAAAATGACTATATGATCGATGGATCTGGAACTGACTGTTTAACGCTGGTTCGCGAAATGTCGCGGAAGCAAGAGTCGCCACCGTCTTTTATTTTCTCCAACATGGACAGGACAAAAGCACAGCAAAATTCCTTATGAGATAGTTTCTCGGTTCGGGAGGTAGATTTATAGAAAGAGAAGGTGTTAGCACCCTTTCTATCCATGGTTATCCATGGGCTCTTAGATACTTGCTCTTTTGTGTTTTCAAAATGTTTGTTTGCTTTTCAGGTGGATATGGGTTTGAAAAAGTTTCGTTTAAAGATTTCAGATCGACTCTTGTATCAGTCCTCAAGAGTGTTTGAAAAATTGTTTTGAAAGCGTTTTTGAAAGTGTCGGTGTGAAAAGAAGTTTTGATTTGTTTTTGAATAGAGCAAGTATCTATGAGTCATCTACCTACCCTAAGGAATTAGGCTGTGTAAATGTCCTTAAAGTAGTGCCATCCCACCATTGAGAGGTAGGTAGCACCACCGTTGGAGGTGTTCGGGTCAATTCGTTTGTAGGGACAGTGTGGTCATCAGAGCAACAGTAGGACACCTTAGAAGCTACCCTTATGCCATTGATCCTTTTTAATTCCGAGGCAACCGTTTCGAGGCAACTGGATCATTTCATGAACATAAGGACTTACTAAAACGTCCCATACTCGACGACCACGTTTCGAAGGTAAGGCAACAGTGAGGCGTACCCTAAGAGTGGTGTGTGAATTTGTGTGTTATTTTCAGTTATGTTTTATCTTGTACATGTATCATGGTGATCTACGCTTGTTTTTATTTTAGGCCATACATTCTTTCATGCAAAGTTTAGCAGTTTTAAGAGTGCGGAAATTTAAATGCGGAAAGTAAAAATCCTACGCTATTACAAGGCGCGGGTCTATACATCGCCAAATTAACAAAGACCCGTTTTGAATAAAAATGCGGGAAGTAAAAACCTAGTTACTATTACATGGCTTGAGCAGTTACATAACATTCATAAGAAAATAAAATAAATGCGCGAAAGAATAAAAATAGAACGTTCGAGGGCGTTTGCCCCTTTTGAAATTAAATTGAAATAAGAAAGTTAATTATTTATTTTATTAAAGAAAATAAATGTTTTTTAGGTTTTTTGTATTTATTAAATAAAGAAATTAAAATTGAAGAGAAACCCTAATTCTAAGTTGTTTTTAATTATTAATGAAAAAAAATATTCAAGTTTAACCTAATTTACTAAATATTTAATGTACATGTTTATTTACAAAATAAATTAGTAACTAATAATAATGATAATAAGAAAAAAAATTATTTATTAAGAAAAAGGATGAAAATGCTAAAAACCCTAATTTCTACATATTTTAATTTGTTAAGAAAAAGATTTAAGTTTTAAAACCTAATTTACTAAATAATTATTGTACAATTTATTTACCAAAAAGACATATTTAATAAGTAAATTAATTAATATATTTTAGTTTCTGATTTTTAGATTATGAAAATTAATTATTGGAATTTGAAGAAAAAACAATTAAAATAATTAAAAGAAAAGAAAAGGAAATAAAAAAAGAATACAAACAATGGGGGTGTCTGACCCAATTTGGAGGTGAGTTGAAGTGATTTTTGGCCCAAGAATGCAAGCCTTTTTTGACTTTCTATGCTTGCGTGTGGAGCAGTTGACCCAGGCGTATGGTGGTCTTCACGTTCTGACCTTCAGATTGATCCTCATGGCCATGTGGCAAGCTTGTGCTTGAGGATGTATGATGAGCCCTGGGACGTGCACTGCATGGAAGCATGTTATGGAAAAAATTATGAAATATGATAGGGGACCTGGGAATCGAACCCATGTCCCAGCGTTTACCACATGAATGCCTTGCCAAGTGAGTTATGAAGCGCGTTTGTTCATATAATGAATGGGAAATATAATATATAAGAACAATGGTTAATGGTCTGAACAAAGAAAAGCGCACCAGTATTTGAATTGGCCAACCAGTCCTGGACACCTCAGCGTCTTCTCCCTTTTTGTACCTGCAACATAATCAAATAGCGGGGGTTTTAAACCCCCACTAAACTCAACCAGAAAAAATAGCGATTAGCATATAAGCAAATATAAAAAGGGCGCGAGGTCATGGTTGTGTTTGTATGGAGGTCACGAATCCATTGGCATAGGTTTTAGGATCCAATTTTTCCATATGGGGAAAGCCCCAATTTCTGAGTCCTGAAACCCTAGAACACATTCATGGTGAATTCTTA